TGTAACCTCCACCTCCCAGGTTCAAGTAATTCTCCTCCCTCAGCCTCCTGAGTAGCTGGGACTACAGGAGCGTGCCACCACGCCCAGCTAATTTTTGTATTTTTAGTAGAGACGGGGTTTCACCATGTTGGCCAGGATGGTCTCGATCTCTTGACCTCGTGATCCGCCCACCTCGGCCTCCAAAAGTGCTGGGATTACATTGTGAGCCACCATACCTGGCCTATTTATTTATTTATTTATTTAGAGACAGAATCTCCCTGTTGCCCAGGCTGGAGTGTAGTAGCACAATCTCGGCTCACTGCAACCTCCGCCTCCCAGGTTCAAGTGATTCTCCTGCCTCAGCCTCCTGAGTAGCTGGGATTACAGGTGTGCACCACCAACCCCAGCTAATTTTTTTTTTTTTTTTTTAGTCGAGACGGGGTTGCTCTATGTTGGCCAGGCTGGTCTCGAACTCCTGACTTCAAGTGATCTGCCCACCTCGGCCTCCCAAAGTGCTGGGATTACAGGCGTGCACCACTGTGCCTGGCCCCCTGTTATCTTACTAACTTACTTATTAATGTTTGTTGTTTATTATCTACCTTCCCAAATAGAGTGTCATTTCCATGAAGATAAACATTCTGTTTTGTTCACTGGTATGTCCAGTTCCTAGAAGGGTGCCTGGTGCAGAGCAGGCATCCAATAAACATTTGTTGAATGAATAAGGTTGCCAAGCCTGCCTGGGATAACAGCCTGCTCACTGGAAAGGTGACGATGACAATAGTGACGGTGCTATGGTGTTGCAGAGAGGAGCAAGTTAAATCTCACCTATAAAGATCTTTCCATCAGGCTGCAGACACAGAGGAAGTCCCCAGCAACAATAGCTCATATATGCCTCAGTTTCCTCATCTGTAAAGAGAGAATAACAGTCCCTACTTCTATTAGTGTTCTATTGCCCTGGCCACGGCAGCATTGTCGGTTTAATGATGCTGCTTCAACTGTCATAGTCTCTTCCACCTGATGCCTTTTGGTTCATTTTTTAACTGAGTTAAAGGCAGGGCTGGACGTGGCACTTGGAATCAAATGGCTGAACCTGTGCTCAGGCCTGGGCTTGAGATAAAAATGACCCCTCAAGTCCAAGCATCAAAATAGACCAAGGTTTCCAGGCCCCCTTGCCTTTAAATAGATTTCAGACATTCTTTTCTCCAGCCCTAGGCCACAGCTGACTCCTCACTGCCTCTCCATGAACAGACCTCAGAGTTTTGTTTTTTCAGTCTCTCTCCATTCTTTCTCCTTTATCCCTGTCCACTGAGGTCCTGGCTGCCCCCACTTCCCCACCCTACCCTATGCTCATGGGCTTCTGGCCTCATCTCTAACTTAGCTTCTAATTTTTCCTTTCTTTTTTTCTTTTTTGAGACAGAGTCTTGCTCTGTCGCCCAGGCTGGAGTGCAGTGGTGTGATCTCGGCTCACTACAATCTCTGCCTCCAGGGTTCATGATTGTCATGCCTCAGCCTCCTGAGTAGCTGGGACTACAGGTGTGCGCCACCTTGCTGGGCTAAATTTTATATTTTAAGTAGAGACGGGGTTTCACCATGTTGGGCAGGCTGGTCTCGAACTCCTGTCCTCAGGTGATCTACCTGCCTCAGCTTCCCAAAGTGGTGGGATTATAGGCATGAGCCACCACGCCCGGCCTAACTTAGCTTCTAATTCTAATGCCTGGTGAAATTCTTAATTTTTTTTTTTTTTCCCTAAGACAAAGTCTCACTCTGTCGGCCAGGCTGGAGTGCAGTGGTGTGATCGTAGCACACTGCAGCCTCTAACTCCTAGACACAAGAGACCCTCCCACCTTGGCCTCCCAAAGTGTTGGGATTACAGGTGTAAGCCACCATGCCCGGTCTGCCTAGTGAACTTGAAAGTCTAGTTTGTGGCATAGGCTAATGGCATGCACTTAACAGATACGGAATAAATGAATGAGTGGGAAAAACCCCGGACTGGGAATAGTAAACCTGGCAACCAAACCCAGTTCTGACGCTGACCTGTAAGTAACTACTGTCTCTGGCCTTGGTATACCCCATCGGTAGTGGGGATTATAAACAGCCTCCCTGCCCACCTATGATACTGCTGTGAGACTCAGAACACATCATTAGCTCTTAGGCACAGGGAGCTTGGAGGTTAAATCCAATTTGCTTAGTTTTCAACAAGGAAGTGGTGCCCCAGGGACAATGGTGGCGAGAAATCGAATGTAATGAGCTATTGCCACCAGCTGAGTGGTCCTGAAATCGTGGCATCTGGGTTATACTTAGAGATTGTCCAGTTCAAAAGGCCAGAGGGAATCTGAACCTCGATGGGAAAAGTGACTTGCTCAGCTCCCCAGCAAGCCAGGGCAGAGCTGGAGGGGGAACTGGAATCTCCTGGTTCGAGGCCCAGGACTCGTTTCCTCTGTGTTGACAGAGCCAGGAGGAGAGGCACCGGGGGAGCAGCGGAGGCAAGGGCTGCTGGGTGCCCCATCTCACCTGAATTCTCCTTGAGGGACCCAGCCCAGGAGCAGAGTAAGAGGGTGTGGGGGCAGAAGGTGGCAGGGCTGGCCAAGCAGTGTAGTCCCTGCTGCTGATAACCAATCCCTGAACTCCCAAGGTGGAGGCACTTGAGGGCAAATCACAGACACAGGGGGCCTAATGCTGGCCATGTGGCTCAACCAGAAGTGCCCATCCCTCATAGCTTTGGGGAGATCAGAAGTCAGGGGCAGGGTCGGGTGTGGTGGCTCATGCCTGTAATCCCATCGCTTTGGGAGAACAAGGCAGGGGGATCGCTTGAGCCCAGGAGTTCGAGACCAGCCTAAGCAAAATAGCAAAACCCTGCTCTCTACAAAAAATACAAAAATTAGCCGAGCATGGTGGTGCACACCTGTAGTCCTGGCTGCTGGGGAGGCTGAGGTGGGAAGATCGCTTGAGCCCAGGAAGTCGAGGCTGCAGTGAGCTGACATGCCAATGCATTCCAGCCTGGGCAATAGAGTGGGACCCTGTGGAAAAACAAACAAAAAACAGTCAGGGGTGCTGGCACCACGATAGGTGCAAGGGTTGCCTCCAATTCCCTCTGGCTCTGTTTCCCAGCCTCTGTCCAAGCAACAGGCAGATTTTCCAGGCCTGGGGACTTGTCCCTGGCTCACTAATGATTATACTATCTTAAGTCTCCTGGAATCCTTAAACCATTTTGCATTTGTAAGCAAGTATTGAGCCCCTCCCATGTTTTAGGCCCAGTGCTGGGTGCTTTCACCTGCAGTTTCTTACAGAGTACGGCATTTCCTAAACTTAATTTGCTACCTCCATGATTTTTGCCATCATCACCCAACCCATGAAATACATAAACAGTATTTACTCAGTATTTTGACTCACTTTTAAAAAAGATAAACTTATCTGAAAAGGGAAACTATGTCACTCCCGTAAATAAGCAGTATCAACCAAAAATACAAAAAGAAACAAAAACAAATACAAAGACATTCTCGGTTTCTGGCACCAGAGCCCAGTTCTGGCTCCTACTTTACTGAGAAGTCACATGATCTCTCCGGGCCTCAGTTTTCTCCTCTGGAAAATGGAGCTGTTGGAAGTTAATGCATGCACAATGCCTGGCCCTGAGCCTGGCATGGAGTGGGTGGAAGAGAGGTTGCCCAACCTGGCTAAAATTGGTTCTCTGGGCACTGACACTTTCTCTCTGCTCCAGCCTCAGTTTTCTCCTTATGATCTTCAGGGCAAAGGTGGCTTCAGGAAGACTGGGACTTAGATGCCGAGGAAGGCAGGGCTCCCCGGGAATCACAGTCTGCGCCTTCAAATATCTGACTGGCTTCAAATTTCTGACTGGCATAGATTGTTCCAGACAGTCCCAAGGGCCACTGAGAAGACCCTCTTGTTAGGAGTCAGTGAGCTCTCTGTCACTGGAGGCATTCAAACAGAGCCTGCGGACTTCTCACTACGAAGCTGTCCAGAGAATTCAGTGCTCAGAGGAAAGGAGTGGTTATTCCATCAGAGGTGGAGGTAGTTCCCCAGGAGCGGGAGCAGGGCCTGTAGCACCCAGCATCTGCCCCCGGCTCCCATCTGTCCGGGATTTTAGCGTTTCCTCTGTAGCTTTCAAGCACTGTCTCATATGACTCTTGCACCAGCGAGAGGCCAGGGGAGATGGTGCCTGCCTCTTAAAGAGGGGCAGGCTGGTCCACATAGGTCAGGTGACTTGACCAAGGTCACCAGAGCAGAGTTTTGAACTTGAGCTGTCTGACTCCACTGCCTGGGAAGTGCCTGTCCCTCCTCTGGCATCCGGGGAGCATGTCCTGGGGCTCTGGCTGGGACATAGCCGTATACCTGCCCGGGCCCTTTACGTCTCTACAGAGAGAAAGAGGGAAGGCCTAGGGGGTGGTTTCCCTCCAGATGCCACCCCTCCGAGGTCCCCTTCTGCTTCTTCTTGCGGTAGCCAGGGAGGCAGCCCACGGGCAGGGAAGCGGGGGTGGAGGTGGAGAGTCAGAGGTGCACGTGGACAGAGACAGAGAGACAGGGACACGTGGGCAGAGACGGATAAAGACAGAGACCCAGAGAAAGCCAGATATGTTGACAGACAGAGACAGACGCCAGAGAGGAAGGCAGACAAAGACAGACGGGTAGAGACAAAGACTCCCACCAAGAGACGCAGAAGAAAGATGCCGACGGTAAAGGCAAAACAGGAGTCGCACGCAGGGAGCGGGTCAGGGCCCAGGCTCGCTGAGAGGAAGGGCCGCGTTGGGGCAGCCCGGAGGCAGAGAGCCCGAGAGCGCGGGGCGA